TCTGTCTATATTTCTGAGATGAGGTATTATGTACACTATTTACATTATTCGGACTATTGTCCTCATCTTTGTCGCCATATTTATTACAACGTTTCGGTCGTTGTACGCTCCGGCCTTCTTCAGGTGGTTGGAATGTCGAAATTAACCCTTTATTTCTCTCATAGGAGTAGACTGTTTTAGTTCCACATGACATGTTTTAATGGATGTCAGTTGTCAGTTATCTCCTGTTAATTCCCCTTTGAAAGTTCTCCACTGCCTTAGCCGGGTATTGAACTCACTCTTTTTATAATAACAACAACAATAATAATAATAATGATGATGATGATGATAATAATAATGAAATCAAAATCTCATATATGTGGTACATGGGAACATCAACAATCCCCGTTGTAGTTGGAGCCCTCGGATTGATTGGAAAAGATTCCAGTAGACTAATTGAAGGGATTCCTGGAAGTTCATGCCCTAAATAAATACAAAAAAGTATTGTTCTCACGAGTACAGCCCATACCTTACGAAGGTCTCTACTATGTAAAATATTTTTTTTAATTAGTCAGTGGAAAATTTCATGATATCATTTTTAACCTTAGGTTTCTGGGTGGTACACGGAAAAAATGTGTACACACCAGAAGTCAAAGGAAATAAAATAATAATAATAATAATCGAACCTGGATGACTTTCTATTGCCTAACGGGGGTAGGCGAGAGATCTGCTAGACATGGAATAGCGAATTGGGAAAATTGTCACAACCAACAATATCGTAATTAGTGGGCACGAAATTAGATTCCTGAAAATCGACCATTTCTATCTGTGGAACGATCTTGCTCGGGCGGCAGAATCAGCGATCGATTTGTGTTAAAGCATCGAACTTTTCAGGCTGTTGATTAAGAATCGGGAAGTCTGAGCTTTGAACCCATTCAAATGAATATGGTCCGGAACTGACTGGTATAAACCGCAGATTGACATTGTCTGAGTGCCGCAGCAGATTGCTTATCGCTGTTTGAAGCGCGCAAGAAAACGGCATTAATGGTCGTGTCCGAGGCCCGACATCGACGTCTCGATTATTTTGCTGAGAGGAGCCACAAGTTCTGAAAATAACTGATAACAAGCACAGACAAATAAATGGAAGCAAGAATCATTACTAAGACTGCAATACGCGGTGATAAACAAAGTCTGTCACACAGACATAATGAGTTTGAATCCCACTGTGCGCGCCTCATTATCGTAATCTTGTGTCGAACTAAACAAGGTTGTGTGATGAGGTTATCGGCGCGAAAAATGAAGTGTTTTTCTGGGTTATATGATATATCAACCCTTGAAGTGTTATTTAATATCGAAATCAGTTTTCTTTTATTATATTCCAATCTCTATGTAAATGCTGGTCTTTTTTCTTACAATCCTGTCTATAGATAAGTATTGGTGAGTCTATTTATATTTTGGTCAATGGGCAACTATTTGACATTCATACTTGAGTCTATGCATAAATACTTGGCGTTTATTTATACTTGAGACTATAAAAATGTATTTGTACTTCAGTCAATGGATAAATATTAGTCATTTAGTTATACTTAGTCGATAAATAAATATTGGTCGTATACTGATACTTTAAACAATAAATCTTATTTGTTTATACTTGCGTCAATATGTTTATATTATGCATGGATTATTTGAGTCTATAGATAAATACTGGCCGTTTCTTTATACTTGAGACTATCAATATTGGTTATTTATTTATACTTGTGCCAATGGGTAAATATTAGCCATTTATTTATACTAGTCGATAAATAAATATTGGTCGTATACTGATACTTTAAACAATAAATCTTATTTGTTTATACTTGCGTCAATGTGTTTATATTATGCATGGATTATTTGAGTCTATAGATAAATACTGGCCGTTTCTTTATACTTAAGACTATTAATATTGGTTATTTATTTATACTTGTGCCAATGGGTAAATATTAGCCATTTATTTTTTTAGTCGATAAATAAATATTGGTCGTATACTGATACTTTTAAACAATAAATCTTATTTGTTTATACTTGCGTCAATGTGTTTATATTATGCATGGATTATTTGAGTCTATAGATAAATACTGGCCGTTTCTTTATACTTGAGACTATCAATATTGGTTATTTATTTATACTTGTGCCAATGGGTAAATATTAGCCATTTATTTATACTTAGTCGATAAATAAATATTGGTCGTATACTGATACTTTAAACAATAAATCTTATTTGTTTATACTTGCGTCAATGTGTTTATATTATGCATGGATTATTTGAGTCTATAGATAAATACTGGCCGTTTCTTTATACTTGAGACTATCAATATTGGTTATTTATTTATACTTGTGCCAATGGGTAAATATTAGTCATTTATTTAAACTTGATTTTATAGATAAATATTAGTCGTTTATTTATACATGAGTCTATAAAATCTATCAATTGATACTTAATTCAATTAGCACATATTTGTCATTTATTTATACTTGAGTCTAGAGATAAATAGTGGTCTTTTATTTATAATTAAGATGGTAGAAATTATTTATAATTGAGTCTATATAGATTTATAACTGAATCTAAATATTGGTATGTTTATTTATACTTTTAGTCCAAAATGTATTTAGTTATACTTGAGTCAAGTATTAATTATTAGTTATTTATTTATACTTCGAGTATAGAGAAATAATTGGAGTTTACTGATATGTGAAACGATAAAAATATTTATTTATATTTGCGTCAGTGAGTAAAGAATAGTCATATATTTATACTTGTGTCTATAGATGAATATTGGTCTTTTATTTATACTTGAGACTAAAGATAAATATTGATCATTTATTTATACTTAAGTCTATAGATAAATATTGGTCTTTCATTTATACTTGATCTATAGATAAATATTGGTCTTTCATTTATACTTGAGTCTATATATAAATATTCGTCGTTTATTTTTTACTGTTGTCCATAGATACTGTTTAGTCATACTTATATCTAAAGTTAAATGGTTCATTTTTTTCTCTATATTTTAGTGTATAATAAGTGTTGATCAGCTCTTTATACTTGAAAATATAGGGAAATATTTGTCGTTGTTAGTACATTTATCTAGATTTAATTATATATTTAAATATTAGACGTTTATTTATACTTATGTTGGTCGTTTCGTTAATGTTGTTTAGCGGCATATCAACCACTAATGCCGAAATCTAAATAGTTTATATATGTTATTTCTTGCTTTCAACAAGATATCTTGCACAGAAATTTTTACTTTCAAAATAGACGTTTGTTTATATATTATATATATATATATATATATATATATATATATATATAGTTTGTAGATGATAAGATGTATTTGTGGTATTTTTTTAATGTATTGCTGGTAATTTTACTACAAAAATGTATTTTTGCACGTTTTTAGTGTTGTATTATACTATAAAAATATATTCAGGGTTATTTTCTTATAAAGATTTTGTTATGGTCTGGTTCCTTGTATCACGGTGATAGTTCAAGAACCAATAAAGAAAAAATCGAACACATGTATGGAATAACAGAGATATATTACAAACAGGAATATATACAGAAAAGTAGAAGTGTTAGTATGAACAATCAGGTTTAGTAAAGAGAACAATGTAGTCTCGACCAGTATCACTATTCATCTAATTTTAGTGTATAATAAGTGTTGATCAGCTCTTTATAGTTGAATCTATAGGGAAATATTTGTCATTTTTAGTACGTTTACCTAGATTTAATTATATATTTAAATATTAGTCGTTTATTTATACTTATGTTGGTCGTTTCGTCAATGTTGTTTAGCGGTCTTGCAGTAATTGTCTGAACGCGACTGTTTCGGACTGCCTCTGACTCGACTCTTGACTCGACTTGAACTACTGACTCGATTTGAACTACTGCAGAGGCGCAGTATTTATTAAGTATGGAATAGTCCATTATTATTATTATGGGTAAGATCCCATAACAGATTTACTGGGGTTTTTTTTGTTTGTTTTTTTATTTATTATTTTTTTTATTTTTGGTGGGTCACTGTTTGCTCATAGATGAGACTCTAAGAAGTGCTTCTACGCCGGGTTAGAATAGGCCTGGAAACGACAGCATTTAAAAGATGGCTCCACGCTTCTCAACACCTCCCGATCAGAGGCCTTGCTGCCAGATGTACGTCATCGTCATATCCAGGTCATATACTTATGTTTTTAATTAAAGGTTGTGCTTTCTGTATAAACAGAAAACACAACCTTTACTTAAAAACATAATTTATTATTACAATTAATTATTAGCTCGTTTTTTTGGGGTTTTTTTTTGGTTTTTTTTAATGGGAGATCGTAGAAGCTAGTGAACCGGAAGTTGTTCGTGAATCGCCTGTAAAATGACAGAGGGGTCACTGTGCGAGAGGGTTGTAGCTGACGGATAGCACACATGTAAATACCTGGACAGCATCGACTTGGAGTTAACTTGGAGAGCGGGTATGAGGTTTTAAAATAATCTGGTCGGTAGCCGTTCAATAATCTCTTTCCATCTTTGACAGCGTTCAAAAACTTCTGGGCGGCCTTTTGGGCCATGAATTGTTTTACATCCTGCAAGCTCCAAGGCTTAGTTACCTCCAGTTTAGACCTTTAAAACTAAAACCCGTCACTTTTAAGAAGAAAGATCCACTCAGGCATCTTGTTTCCCGAAAGCCCCCACCCGATAGAACATTTTCCCGACCCTAAAAATCTTAACGTCTTCAATTTTAATATCTTCATTTTAAACCTCTTTAATTCTAACGTCAGTCGCATATATCCTACACATCGTACGTCTTTCTTTTGCGTTTAAGCAAGAATCTCATTCAGTTACTGTTTATCTTCAGTTCTTAATAACTGTTGCCTTTAATAAAAGAATTGGGTTCAGGGGATAGGAATCAATGAAACGGCGCCATTTTCTCATTAGTAAAGGCATGAACTTTATCCTCCCTATCTCTGTTTCTTTATACAGTCTTTGTTTCTACGGCTTACGGCCACATCTCGTTGAAACACTTGTTCCCGTACGATCACCGAAATTAAGCAACGTCGAGCCTGATCAGTATCTAGATGGGTGACCGCTTGGGAAGACCAGGTGCTGTAAGTTTGGATGTGCGGACGGTGTAATGGATAATGGCTGGGAATTGTTAAGCGGAGATCCGAGTTACGATACCGGTGGGTTGCGTTATATTCACTTACGCTCGAATGCCCTTTGGAAAAGATATGAATCCATCTACTCTCCCCCCAGTTGTGGGTTAATTAGCAAGATCTGTACCACTAAACCATTATTATATTCCAAAAGAAAATTTCTTACAATCGAAAAATATTTTCTGGCTTTAAATAACCTCCAAAACCATAGAAAACGAATCAATCAATCAATGAAATACTGATTAGCTACAGAGGCATGACTTTTAGATTTATTTACATTCTCTGGGATATAAATGTATAGAAACTACATTGGACACAAAGTGAGGGATCATTTTATATATTGATTTTAATATAGAATTGGTCCCCCACTTTATATCCACATTATAATTTCATGTTTGTTGATAAGCCGTAGAAAACGAGTCAATCAGTCAATGAAATACTGATTAGCTACACGGGCATGTCTTTTAGAGTTATTTACATTCTCTGGAATATATAAAAAATACTGTGACCACAAAGTGAGGGATCAGTTTATATATTGATTTTAAAATCAAATTGGTCCCCCATTTTATATCCACATTATAATTTCTTGATTGTTGATAAGCCGTAGAAAACGAATCAATCTGTCAATAAAATACTGATTAGCTACACAGGCATGTCTTTTAGATTTATTTACATTCTCTGGAATATATAGAAATTAGCGTGGCCACAAAGTGAGGGATCCGTTTATATACTGATTTTAATATCAAATTAGTCCCCCATTTTATATCCGTATTATAATTTCTTGATTGCTGCCTTAAAAAAACGAATCAATCAATCAATGAAATACTGATTAGCTACAAAGGCATGTCTTTTAGATTTGTTTACATTCTCTGGAATATAAATGTATAGTCTAAACCGTGGCCACAAAGTGAGGGATCAGTTTATCCATTGTATGAAATATAACACTGCTCCCCAATTTATATCCACATATTTTCTTGTTTATCTGATTCCGATTAGGTATGAATTAATCTCTTCTCCCTTAGTTATGGGTTAATTAATAAAACATGTAACACTAAATCATTATTATCTCTAAAAATGTCTTGAAATACAGGAGTATTTTCTAGCTTTAAATAGCCTGAAAAAGCTTGATAATCCGTAGAAAACGAATCAATCGATCAATTTTTGTTTCCACAATTTACTTTGTTCCTTTTCGCGCAAATGTCTGGCTTCAAGAAAGAAAAAGGAGCCTTGATTCAAAGCCAGACATAACCCGAATTGGAAGCTCGTTAATCTCACCTTGCTTGGAAGTTAGAAGATAAAGTGGTGCCTTTAATTCTTGCAATCATTCATCAAAATTCTCAAGGACTAATCGATACCAATCTTGCGATGATGGAGTACTTATCGTCGCTGATCGACTGTCATCAGATTTGCCGGGGTCATGAATTCGCAAGCAAGAATTTTGGGTTCTCGCCCAATTTCTTCAATGTTGGTATTTTGTAAACTTATTATGAAACAGAAAGCATTTATTTAGAAACAAATGGATAACAATCCCACAGTCCTTTTTTAAAAGGATTTTTTTTTTTACTTCTCAGGACTTTTTAAATGCAACTTCCGCTTAGTCCAGGGTATGACAATAAACTACATCCGGCAGCAAATTAATCGAGAGAGTGAAGGTTTTTAGGAGCGTAGAATGACCTCTTAATTGATGTTCTTCCGAACTCCTTTTTGACCTGGGGTGGTAGCACCTGTTAGGGTCCGAGCTCTGGTAAATAGTGAATCCCCAAAGAAAATCTAAACACTATGAAAGTATAAAAATTAAATTTCGGCATTCTTTTTCTTTGTATGTGTCATGTCCTTTCAGTACATAGGCGATAATGGCTCTCCACCTCCCTCTATCCCTTGCAAGCTCTCAGCAAGTTCATTCCCTTTGCTTAACCCCTCCCCCCAGACCACGTTTTGTCATTTACCTGCTCAAGCTTGTCAGGTATGTCACGCGCTACTTTCCCTTGTCTCTCTTTCCCTCTATTCGACCTGTGAGTATCAGATTCTCCAGGTCCACCTTTCTCATTTCATGTCTTAGAGACTTCAACAAATCAAATCAAGCATCTTTCTTTAATGCAATTTTGTTCCGGATTTTTATCCTCTGTTAAAAGACTTCAAATTTGTAGAGATCATGAAATCGCAAGCAAGAATTTTGGGTTCTCGCCCAATTTCTTCAAACTTGGTATTTTGTAAACTTATTTAAGAAACGGAAAGCATTTATTTAGAAACATATGGATAACAATCCAGCAGTCTTTTCTTAAAAGGATTTTTTTTTACTTCTCAACACTTTTTAAATGCAACTTTTGCTTAGTCCTGGGTATGACAATAAACTACATCCGGCAGCAAGGCCTCTGATCGAGAGAGTGGTGGTTTTGAGGAGCGTGAAACCACCTCTAATTGATGTTATCCCCAACTTCACACTGATCTGGGGTGGTAGCACCTGTTTAGGGTCCCAGTTATAGGCAAATAGTGACCCCCCCCAAAAAAATCAAAACACTATGAAAATAAAAGATATATTCTTATATTAAAAATACCAACAGTATATTTTATATAAAAAAATTACCAAGAATGCATATTTATAGTAAAATTACTAACAATACAATTCATAAAATAATGACCAACAATACATTTTGTCTGTACTTGAAGGTATACAAATGTGTACAAAATATTTAGATTTCAGTATTAAATAACCCATATAGTTGTTGATATGTCGTTAAATAAATATCATCCAAACAACCAATATGCAAGAATTCTTTCATGACATTAATCCATATAATATCCTAATCCATTAATCCATATAATATCCTAATCCATTAATCCATAAAATATCCTATAATTTCTTAAAGAAATCAAACTATATTCGAAAATATAACTTAAACATAAAACACACATATCGTCTCTAGTAATCATGTCCCCACAAACATTTATATGAGCAAAAGCTGAGTATCATCTACCATGAATTCACTTGTGAAAGCAGAATAACATATATGATTTTTTATTACTTTTATGAAAATTAAATGATCCAGATTGCCAGTTAGGTCTCATTTTTTTTCCTGTTGAAATAGCTAGATGTTACTTCAAATGCTATTCTAATATTTCCTTTTCCGCCAGTGGAACTGACTTCCGGTTTGTTGAAAATACAACGTTCAAAAATTTATATGCAACGTCCATCCCCATTTTCGTTCTTCCTGAATCCTGTTCTTTTATTGTTCTTTTCCCTTCTCTAATGTTTTTTTTTTCATTCGCCTTGGCTGGCATCTTAGTCGCATCATCGCCTTGCCTGAAGTTAAAAAAAAAGAAGCAAAATATATTATTTTGCTTAGACAAACATCCGAATAAAATTGGAAAAGGAGACAAAAATAAAAAAATAACAGTAGTTATCAAAACTGTTGTGAATAAATATAGAGCCATTTATTGAAAGCTACACACGGGAAATAATGGCTTTTTTTTACTTTAGATGTGAGAATGCCTTTTTTAAGAATTATTTTTTAAGAATTAATTTTTAAAATTTTTTAAAGAATGTTTTTTTTAAGAATTTTTTTAATAATTATTTTTTAAGAATTATTTTTAAGAAATATTTTAAGAATTTTTTTAATAATTAATTTTCAGAATTTTTTTAAAGAATTCTTTTAAGAATATTTTTAAGAAATTTAAAAGAAAATTTTAAGAATGTTTTTAATAATTATTTTTTAATAATTTTTTTTTCAAGAATTTTTCTTTCTACCGAACACTGTTAAACCAATTCCGGTTTTTTACTGTTGTTTTTGATAACTCAGTTACAACCCCAAACTCTCAAGAAAATTAAATTTTGGCATTAAATAACTGATAATGTGTTACGATGACGTTAAACAATCAAAGAATTGTAACAAAATCCTGGAAAATATCTGACACTAAAATACTTACCTTATTTACAAGCTGAGAATTAATAAGGGGGTCCAATATTGACGCCATTGTCAAGTTTATTACACACAACTAACTGCTTTCTCATTGGTTCAGCTGGACGTTTCAAAAATGCTTCAGAATTGCGTCCTGGAACCAAAATTTGATGAGCACTGATACAAGAAACAGATAAGAGAGGAGAATTAAACAAAGATTAAGACATGTTATTCAACTTAAAAGAACTCTTCTGTGATATTAATCCATATAATACCCTAATCCATTAATCTAAATAAATCCTAATCCATTAATCCATATAATATCCTAATCCATTAATCCAAATACACCCTAATCCATTAATCCATATAATACCCTAATCCATTAATCCAAATAAATCCTAATCCATTAAACCATATAATATCCTACAACTTCTTGAAGAATCAAACTGTATTTCAAAATATAACTTCAGCAAAACTGCAACATAAAACATATATATCACTGCCTCTAATAATCATGTCCACACAAACATGTATATGAAGAAAAGCTCAGTATTATCTACCATTTACTCAACTGTGAAAGCAGAATAACATATAATATTTTCATTACTTCAAATCTCCCAAGAAAATTAATTTCGGCATTAATCCTTTCAGCCCTGCGTTCCTGAACAATGCTAACCCTTCTGCCTGAACTCCTGAGTTGAATTTCCCAAATAATTGGTATGTAATATTTCCCGGTAGATATAAAAATAGTTACAAGTGTTTACTCAACGTTCAACCGGTAGCTGAGCAGTAAGTCATTTTTATCTACCACTGTTCAACCGGTGGTTGGGCATTACGTCATTTTTCTCTACCGCCGGTAAAGCGGTGGTCAGGGCTCAAAGTGTTAAATGACCCATAAATGAGTTGATATGCCGTTAAACAAATCGAATCAAATCAAGCATCTACGGATTTCAATGGTCATTTTTTTTTCATTCTCTGTTAAAAGACTTCGTAGATCTTCAAACTTGCATAATGTTGAAATCACCAATTTGTAACAGGTATTTTAGAGTTTTTCTTTGTTG